GCCAGGGGGGGTGATTTCTTGCTTTCTGTCTCTATGTCTCTCTCTGTCTGTCTGGCGAACACACGTGCCCTGTAGTGAAAACCTCTCCAAAAAAAAAAAAAGAATTAAACCACGGCCCACGCTACTTTGAAACCCCTCTCTGGATAAAATATCAGATTGAGAATTTTGAAAGCTCTGATTTGTCTAGATATGTTTTATTGTTGTTTGTTTTTTGCTTTGTTTTGCTTTGTTTTGTTTTTGAATAAGGACTCTAGAAGAATCTTGTTCACCTCCAGGAACTGAAGGGCGCATTACTGAAGGCACGGGAGAAGGTCTGGGTCAGCGTCAGGATCATTATGCTTTCTCTGGACCAGCAGAGGGAGCTCCGTGTTAGGTTATGAGTTAAAATTGTGTTCCCATTTGGGTTCACAAATCCCTTTTCTAAGAAGTCTATTCTAGATCAAGACCACTATTGTTTATTTTTAAATGTATTTTAAGTAACCACAGCAACATTAGAGTAGTGTCTTTATTTTATTTAGTTAGGTTGGCAAAGCTCAGATAAGACTGAAGTCAGGTAAAACATCTCAAAATAGTATTTTTTCCCAGATTTCTCAGTGGACCTTAACCAGAATTGATGTTCTCTTTCTATAGAACAGTACCATGCATATAGTCCTGAAATTGGCATCAGCTGAAATGACTCTAGTTGAGTAACTGAATACATTTAAAGTATAAAACTAATCGTTCTTGGGAACCAGCAGTTAGCGTAATGGCTATGTCGCTGGACTCCCACGTAGTCGACCGCGGTTCGTGTCCCGGACCCGGTGACTTAAAACTCACGCCGGGCGCATGTGCGTGCATGCCCAAGATCCCGAGAGGAGAATGGAGGAGAAGGGATTGCGGCGTGACCATCCCCCCTGGGGGGTGATTTCTCGCTTTCTGTCTCTATGTCTCTCTCTGTCTGTCTGGCGAGCGCACGCACCCTACAGTGAAAATCTCTCCAAAAAAAAAAAAAAAAACTAATCGTTCTTGTGCAGAACAAATTTGGGAGAAAATTATTTTATGTATCAAACAAAATATTTATAATGACATTTTATTGTTTGTTTTGTCTCATCTCTTCAGTTTTAATCTTATTTATTTCCATGTTGACTACACAAAATTATGATTTGTTTTTTAGAACTAGACTGACCTTTTTCTTTCTTTTATCTTTTTTGTTCCTAATTTACAGCATTTCTTTATTTTTTTATTTTTATTTTTACTTTGAGTTTTTGTTACATGGCATGTGCACTCACTAGAGAGGCAGAGAGGGAGGGAGAGAGAGAGAGAGAGAAATCACCTGTTGGGATAGCAACACTACATTCCGTTCTCCTCCAGTTTCCTTGGAATTTTGTCACTCACACACACACACGCATGTGCTCACACAAACACACACACACACAGCTTGATTTTTTTTTTTTTTTTGGAGAGGTTTTTGCTATAGGGCGCGTGCGCTCGCCAGCCAGACAGAGAGAGACAGAGAGACAGAAAGCGAGAAATCACCCCCCAGGGGGGATGGCCACGCCGCAATCCCTTCTCCTCCATTCTCCTCTCGGGATCTTGGGCACGCACGCACACGCACCCAGTGTGAGTTTAAGCCACCGGGTCTGGGACTCGAACCGCGGTCGACTACGTGGGAGTCCAGCGACATAGCCATTACGCTGACTGCTGGTCCCCCCCACAGCTTGATTTTTAAGGCACGGAGTTCGAGATTTGAACTACATGCAGCTGACCTTGTCGGATCCAGTGCCTTAACTTCCACACCAACTGCTAGCCTCTTTTATATGTTTAATACTGATTTTTTTTTCCAGTTTTGTGCATTATAAATATTTTTTTTTCTGTCTAAGACTTTTTTTCTCTTACTAAGACTTACTGTCTTACTTTTTTTCTGTCATACCTTTTTTCTGCCTTACTAAGACTTCTAGTACAGCGTTAAGCAGTCGAAGCAGTAGCTGCCATTCCTGTCTTGTTTGTCACTTTAAAGAGCTCTCTTATAATGTCAGCCTTGAGTCTGATTTTATAGCAAGATTAAATACTCTTATTAAGTTAAAGAATTTATCAGGACCAGCAATTGGCGTAATGGCTATGTCACTGGACTCCCATGTAGTCGACTGCGGTTTGAGTCCCAGATCTAGTGGCTTAAACTCACTCTGGGCACATGTGCGTGTGTGCCCATGATCCCCAGAGGAAAACGGAGAAGGGATTGTGGCGTGGCCATCCCCCCTGGAGGGTGACTTCTCACTTTTTGTCTGTCTCTGTCTGTCTGTCTGGTGAACACATGTGCCCTATAGCAAAAACCTCTCCAAAAATAAATAAATAAATAAATAAATAAATAAATAAATAAAAAAGAATTTCTTATGTATTTCAGGTGAATAGGTTGTTTTTGAAAATCAAAACTGTTGTTAAATTTGTTTGAGTTGAATGCTTACTTTCCTAGCTTAGTAATGAATCCAGTTAACATTGTCACTTTTTTCTGTAAGTTTGGCTTTCTCTGCATTCCATAAATTTTCATGTGGCACATTGTAAATATTTTTTCTCAAGTGGTGGCAGTTGTC